TGTGTGTCTGTCTGCCTGCACAGAAGATGTCAACACAGCTGAACACCTTCGCCTGGAGCTGGACCAGTCAGAGCTGAAGCAGCGAGAGCTCCTTGATAAGGTGCAGCAGTTGGGTGAGGAGGCATCTGAGCTCAGGGGCATAGTTGTGGAGCTCCAGAGGCAGCTGGATGTGTCACTTGCAGCGCAAGAGCAGCAACAGGGCTTGCAGGAAGAACTCAGGGATCTGCAGATACAAGAGGAGGCCCTGTCCAGAGAGGTAGAAGCACTCAGGACTAAGGAAAATGTCAGAAAAGATGAAATATGCCTGCTACAGGAAAAGTTGACATCCGCTGAAGGGAGGAATATAGAGCTGCTAGCCAAGTTGGATGAGGTTCTGAATGAGAAGGGCCAGCGGGCAGCTAGCTGCTTTGATTCAGCACAAAAGATACACGAGTTGCTAGAAAGGCTGAAAGAGGCAGAGAAAGGAAAGATTGAAGCTATTGCGGAGGTAGAGGAGAAGAAGAGGCATACAGAAAGGCTAGAGGAAGAGCTGAGGGTCAAGGAGGCAGCTGCAAAGGATGGTGAAAGAAAACAGGGAGCTTTAGCTACATCTGCATGTGAAGAGAAGGCCAAGTTGGAGGCTAAAGTGGAGGAACAGTGCAGCGCACTTGACAAGCTGCAGGAGGCCTTGACATTGAGAGAGAAGGAAACCAGCAACCTACAAAAGCAGCTGCAGGACCTCCAAAGATCTCTAGAGGAGAAAGAGAAAGAAACAGAGGAGATAAAGAGGATGGCACAAGAACATAAAAATGAAATGAAGAATCTTGATGTCTTAAAAGACTCTTTAGAAGCAGAAGTCACTGCTCTTAAGGAGCAGCTTGAGAGGAAAGAGGCAGAGCTAACCTCTAGCTATGAAACACTACAAAAGCTGGAAGCCAAGAACCAAAGCCTGACCACAGAGAGGGATAAACTGACCACTACCCTTACTGAGCTGCAAGGTAATGTCAAAGAACAAGCCATGAAAATAGGAGACTACAAAATGCAGTGCACCAGTCTAATGGAACAAAATGAAAAGCTGCAGAACATGGTGAAGGGAAATGAGGAGCTGAAGAAGGAGATGGCAGACAACAGAGCAGTACTTGAGGTTGAATTAGCAGCTCTAAGGGCTTCTGAGAGACAGCTTCAAGGCCAGTTGAATGATACAAAAATGACAGTGGATGAAAAAGACAAAAGGCTGCGTGAGGAAAACCGCAGGCTGGATGAGAGTTTGCAGCGTACCACCTTGGACGCAGAGCTCTCCAAGACCACGTCGAAGAGGCTCGAGAAGGAAAACCAGAGTCTGAGAGAAGATCAGGACACTGTGAAAGCAGCTCTTAGTCACATGCAAGCAGATCTGAAGAATGTTCATGGGCAGATTGGAGAGTTGGAAAAGAACTTAGGAACTTCACGCAAGAATGAGGCAAACCTTCAAGGACAGCTCCAAGCCAAAGAGGCCCAGCTAGAGAGTAAAGAGAAGAACCTTGTTGAGCTCCAGTCCAGGTTAAAATCTCTGGAGGCCAGGGAGAAGGTATTAGAGTGTGCCAAAGCTGATGCAGAAGCAAGCTGTGCTAGACAGGGAGAAGTGATTGAAAGGTTGAACTCTGAGAAGCAGGTGATGGAGAAATCTCAGCTGGAGAGGAGTGCTGTCCAAGCAAAGGAGACCCAAGAAGTGACAGGCAAACTGACTGTGGTGGAGGGCCAATTGGAGGTGAGCATGAAAGACGTGTCCAGGCTCCAGACAGAGATCTTGGACCTCAGGGTGCAGGTCCAGAGGTCTGAGGAGGAAAAGCTAAAACTGCAAGCACAGTTTGAAGTGACGGAGGCTCAAAGAGATGAGCTCAGGACTCTGACTGAGCAGCTCAAAGGTCAAGTCGAGTTGCTGAATCAGAAGCATATAACGGAGCTTATGGAGTGCAAGAAGAAAGAAGAGGCACTGATTGAACAGTGTGATAGAGAAGCAGCAGCACATGCTGAGCTTGCTGCCTCTGCAGCTACTGTCCAAGAAGAACTGTCTGCACTCAAGACAGAATATGACAGGCTGGCTCTAGAGAACATTGAGACACATGATGGTCTGCACAGAGCAAACACAGAGATGGCAGAGCTCGGGATGACCATCTGTAAGCTCAGCGCAGAAAAGGAGGAGGACAAAAAGAGCTGGGCAGGGGACACTGCCAAAATTAAAGAGCTGGAGAAAGAGGTGGAACAACTAGACGTGTGCATGACAGAACTACGGCTGGAGAATAACAAGCTAAGAGAAGAGCTGACAGAGAAGGAGACGCTTCCAGGGACCGTCGTGGAGCTCCGGGAGCAGCTGGAGAAGGCCAAGAACCACATGGAGAGTGTCAGGGACTCCAGCCGAGAAGAGTTGGAGGCCATCAAGTTCCAGATGAGCTCAGAGACCATGAATCACCAGGCCCAGATGAAGGTGAATCAGTGAGAACCTGTTACCAATGCCTATACACCCAAGTTAATAGCTGTTGCTTTAGTGATTTAGTTTTTATGTTATAGTGCAGGAATATCTAAAACAGTTATATTTATATCAATGCTAGCAGGATGACTCTAAGGATGGCTTGTTGGTCTGTTGGTCCAGCACCTTGGTCCCGGCTGAAATATCTCAACAACTATTCTAAATATTCCATTCTCTCATGTTACTCTTTCACTTCAGAGTGTGAATGAACAGCTGGAAAAGGTGAAAGCAAGGCTGGAGGAGGAACTGAAGAATGTGTCCAGCTTGCAGGCCAAAGTGTCTGAACTACAGGTGTGTCTTTCAAACATGGAAATAATTTAGGGCTACATAATAACTAGATGCATGATGATGGTAAAATGTGTTCTGTAATCCGGACTGTACAGAGACAAACACCACTTTTTGAAGTTTTAGAATCTAGACTTATTTAGATCTTCCACAAAATCCTCTTGAAATTACAGAAAATTTTGTTAAACCTTTATATTTAATTGTCTATTTTCAAATCAAGTGTAAAAAGTGCTTGCACAGATCAATATTTTTTTCATATGTATGTGTTCTGATAATCCTCAATAAAGGCCATGAATGAGCAGTACTTGCAACTAATTGCTGAAAAAGATGCACACATCATGAAGACAGAATCAACAGTTTGTGAGAGTGAGAGCGAGATTCAGCAGCTGCGAAGTGCATTCACCAGGTGTGCTCATAACCAGTGAGACCTGTGGATTTCATCTAACAATAATGAAAGATACTGACTCATTTTCTGCTCTCTTCAGTGCTGAAGAAGCAAACTTGTCTGTGCAGAAAGTGTGTGAGGAACTGAGGCAGAAGCTCAACACAACAGAAGCTGACAAACAAAACCAGTATCTGAAGATGACTGCAGAGGTTGATGACCTCAACACAACCAAGACCATCCTTGAAGAGCGGCTCATCGAGCTGATCAGGTATGACTTGTCTCTGTTACAGCTGTCAGATGCGTCGAGGCTATAAGCACAACAGGCAGAGGGGGACTATCGTTTGAGGTGGCGCCGCAGATGGCTGCCATCGGTTCTGTACCGGGAACAAATTCCTTGTGTGTAACATACTTGGCCATTAAAGGTGATTATCCTTATCCTTAATGAAGAACAGGGTTAATGTTCATTTTTCTTTTGGTTGTCTACAACCTTGCTATGTTTGGCTGCTGTTTGCTCATTGATATTCTCACCAGGGTAGTGTGATAGTGTGCTTCATTCCGCAAACACTTTTTTCCTCCTTGGCTTACAAAGCTCCCATACTGCTTCCATGCTACTATTGCAGGTGTAAAACACTAGCAAACAAACAAACAAACAAACAAAAAAACACCACAAATAGGATTCAGTCAACTCCCTTGGGATGTGCCCACATGACTTGAGTTTCACTAGCAGGTACCTGCGCTCACTAAGTATGAATGGGAGTACAAGGACAAATGAATGAACTACAAGGAACTTGTATATACTTGGTTGGTGGTGTGGTTGATGGTTTTGTGGAAGGGTAATGAAGACTGCACCACTCTCGGGCACCGGCAGACCTCCAGCAGGGCTAGAAGAATTGAGTATTGTTTGTAGAATTTTGAGGACAATAATGAATTAAATCCAATTTTGAATAAGGCTGTAACCTAACAAAATGTGGAAAAAGGTAAGCGCTGTGAATACTTTCTGGATGCACTGTACCATATAAACCACAAACAACATCATATGGTAGTACAGTTTACAGCATTAAATAAATTAATTCATGTGAATTTTTTTTTCCAAACTTTAAATTTGGTACCAAATCATGATATGATAGTACCAGTAACATGCATTCAAAGCAATTTTCTTTTTGTGCACTACATCAGGGACAAAGATGCCCTGTGGCAGAAGTCAGATGCTCTGGAGTTTGAGCAGAAACTTCGAGCAGAGGAGCGCTGGTGGTTGGTGGACAACGAGACCACGCATTGCCTCGGCTGCCAGGGCCAGTTCACCTGGTGGCTGCGCAGACACCACTGCAGGTGATTTACTGCACACTGTTGACCCTTGACCCTTGTTGCTTCTATCACTGTCTTTTCAAGTCTGTACCTACCCTGTCAGGTTACTAGTGTTGCTTTCGTCAAGGAAAATTATGACTAAATATCGTCGTCAACGAACTTTTATCACGCGACGAAAACGAGACGAAACGAAACGTTATTTCGTCTCGTTTAGTTGTGTTATTATTGTTATTTTGCAGTATTCTGTTTCCTGTGTCTCGCTTCAGGGGCCGCATCAGGTCGCACTGCGCAGACGCAGGCGACGTCACTTTCTTAAGGCCCACCTCGCGGCGTTATTTAGAAGACAACAACAGAGTTAAGTCTGACACAGAGAAATGGACCGATGGAAAAACGTTTGGAAAAACTTTCATTACATAGAAATGGAAAAAGAAAACGGAATGTGTTGTGGAAAAAGATGGGGAGAAATGTGGCCACAAAATCACACAAAATGTGTATTGGATGTATTCTTGAGTCTATAAAAGGTAACAATAATATAATAAGATAACCTTGAAAATTTTGGTTTCATCTATACTACTAGGTACTTATACTATATTGACTGGGTTAAATAGAACTGTATTACTAAAGAGACTAAAATTTTATTGACTAAAACTAGACTAAAATGTCAGTTTTCGTCAACTAAAACTAGATGAAAATAGTCATAGATAATTCATACTAAAATAAGACTAAAATGCTCAGACTTTTAGTTGACTGAAACTTGACTAGACTAAAAAGAATATGAACGTGACTAAAAGTAATAAAAACTAAAATGACAGCTTCACACAAAGACTAGACTAAAACTAAAACTAAAACAGGCCACCAAAAACTACTATACATCAGGCTACTGACAGCATCACTCGTGTGCTTTCTCAACATGCACGAGATTTATTTTAGTAACAAAGTTCTAGGCCTAATATGGATGAAAACTCATTCAATTATTCAAATGTTATTTTGTCTAGGCTCTGTGGTCGCATCTTCTGCTACTACTGCAGCAACAACTTTGTAATGGCTAAGCACAGTGGAAAGAAGGAGCGCTGCTGCAGGGACTGCTACACCCAACACAGTGCTGTGGTGGAGAGGTTCACAGCGGCAGAGCTCAGTCCTTCAGATACCCAGCCTCCTCCGCCTGGAGCTGGGCCTGAAGAACCTCCTGAACCAGCCCCCTACAAACCCACTCCCAGTGTGACAGGTGAAAGGCAGGAGAAAACCAGATGCTTCATAACTGGACACTTAACCTACATGTTTATTGTGGCAGTTTCCTGATCCTCATTCTTTTTTTTATTGTATATTAAGTGGAGACATTTAAGCAGAAGTGAAAAGACCGACTTTGTCATATTGAGGAACAAGGACAAAAACCTATGCTTGAATAGAAATAAAGGTGGAGCGTGATATTTCTGTTTTGCTTTCGGTAAAGAAAGGAAAGCTGCATAATGTTAGTTCTGATTTTGTAGCAGCTTAGTCTCATCCTCATACAATTTCAAAGTGGATTTTTTTCTGTTGTACATGCATTAAGATTGTATGTTGTGTATTCCCCACAGTGTATCATCAGAAAAGATATTGGTGGTATTTTCTTCACCATAACTAAATGATTCCTCCCTAGTTTCAGACCCCAGCAACAGATCTGACGACGGACCTTTCGACATCATCACAGAAGAAGAAGTGAACAATGTCTACGACAGTGAAACTACGTCACAGACCACAGGTGGTTCGCTGGAGGGAGGACAACACCAGCAGCCTCCTGAAGCGCTGAATATGTGGGTGAAACATTGATCAGATTACATTCACATCAGGCCTTTGTGGTCCAGTGTGTTCGCTAAGAAAGTGAATTCAACATAGAGTCTTGAACTGTACGGGTGTAATGTTGGCTAATCAGGAAACGTCATAAGTGAAATTATGCGTAATATATTTAGTGCTGGATAATTATGAAATGTATAACATGTCAGATCTGCTGTTCTTCCTTCTTCTGGGCAGCTGCTTTATTTTGTTTTCACCTCAAAACCTTGCAAATCTTAAAGATGGGAAGTAGCAGACAAAGATGTGCTTCTTGTTATAATGAATGCACCACCAAAAGGTCAGGGGCAATCAAAAGGATCAGTGCATCTATTTCTGCCTGTAGACTGACTTACTTATCATTCAGTGATGTAAATAATAGCAACGAATCACTGGAGATACTCATCAAGGCTCATTTTAAAGCACATAGTTGTACTGACTGAAAGTGACCAAAAAAGACCATAAATGCAGCTTTGACCAACTACAACTTGTTTGAATGCAGACATTTCTTGAGAATGTGCAACTTGAGTTGTTTGCTTTCTTCATTTCAACCCTTCTGATATTTCCTAGTCATAGCACTCCTTAAGAAGATGCAGTATTCAAACATAGAAGCTTTCAGAGTCCTGCAAACATCGTGATCATTCATGGTGGCGGAAATTGCTTTGTTCTCCATCTTCATATCGCTGTGCCACTTGAGTCTCGTACTGAAAGGATAGTGTTGTCCTGTGTGTTGTGTTGGATTCAGCAGAGGCACAGAAGATGCGACCCCTGATGATCCTGAGGAGCAGGTCCCCACTGTCCAGGATTCAGAGATCAGTCTTCTAAAATCAGGAGAAGTCACGTGAGTCTTTACTTAAATACATTTGATACATACAGTATATATCATTTCCAAGTGGACTTGCTATCAGTTGTATTAATTCCACTTTAATGCATCCTAAATGTAATTTGTTCTCACACAGGATCGGTGTCACTCTCAGCACTGATGATATCTCTCAGTTTGGGGACAGTTCCAGGGAACTCTTCATCAGGTCGAGCTGTTATAGTGTGATAACCGTCGCTGTGTCTGACTCTGGGCTCACCATCAGCTGGACGTTTTCCTCTGAGCCCAAAAGCATCTCCTTCAGTGTAGTTTACCAGGAATCCGCTGACACCCTGGTGGAACAGTCAAAGGTAGATGAACTCACTGTGTTTTTTTGTTTGTGTGTTTATGCACTAAGAACAGTTTACATGTTTACATGTTTTGTTCAGCAAGATCATCTTCACAAGTGAACACAACTTTTAGGTTTTTTGAGGCCCAAACACATTCACCGGATGTAAAAAGCTACACCAGGGCCTCATGACTTCAGCATCACCACCACAGCTTCCAACTTGTACTTTGATTTCTAGCTCTTACCTCCTCTACAAAATTCTTTCCTTTTAGCGTGACCTAATCTAGCTAGTGATCATGGCTGTGTCAGTTAGAACAGTTTGCAAGTGTGCGAGTTTAAGCATACGGTAATAAAACTCTTTAAAGGCGGACTAGTGAGAAGATGAGTCTCCATCATGACATGTAAAATCACAGACAGCCTCTGTAGTCTCATTTAGCCACTTGTTAGCAACTGCCTATTTAAGACAAGTAAACAATTTAAAAATCACTTGTGGGTTATTTACTGACATTTTATTTCATAGAGCAAAGCATGAAAATGTACTTTACTGGTCTTGTGTTAAACAGAGACCTTATTTCAAGCATCTAACCAAAAACCCATTGACTTCAGGGCGAGCGAACACAAAGTGCAAAAATGCTATCTCAGTTCTGGGATTTAGGACTCACTACTAGGGAACTCTATAAAGGCCAGTGAATGTGAACATGCCAAGACATCATTCAGCCCTTATACTGTATGTCTGTGACAGAAAAGTTCAGGAAGGCTTTTTGTTTCATACTGTAATATCAAATTAAAATAAATAAATAAGGCTGAAGACAAGGCTTTTCATTTGTCAGAGAGTACATCCACTCTGAGATGACACAATGGCCTGACCATGTGCATGCATTCATAGGCACCCTTTGCAGAGAGCAGGGATATTTACTTGATTTTTCCAACACTATTGACTGAAGAAAACCACAGCAGGTTGCCAATGTTGCTCAGCAGGTTGAGGCACATATTCTCAAACTAAAATGTCATGGGCTGTAAATAACTTGTGACCTTTCTTTTCATTTACTATATTATTATAATTATTATAATGATTATTATGATTAATATACTGGTATATGATATACTTGTTGTCCATCATAAACCATTATGTAATGTAACATATGCTGCATGTCAAAAAAACAAGACTAGTGTATTTTAGACCGACCGAGGAGAGATGATAACCTTTGGCAGAATCTTTCACTTGCTGAGTTTCACTTCAGGCCAGTGTTTCGGTTCTGTTCTCAGGTCCTGATTCCTCTGACTCGCTGCAATTCCCATAAAGAGACGGTTCAGGGGCAGCTGAAAGCCCGTCACCCCGGCTTGTACACACTCATCTTTGACAACTCATTCTCACGGTAGGAAATGCCTGACATCTAGCATCCTCCTCTGGCCACTGATTCTAAGGCTTGCTTAAGCTCTTATCGTCTTTGCCACTGTATGTGTACGTGGATTTGGCCTGTAAGCCATGTATATGTTGCGCTTCAGCACCTTGTTTTAGTACATCCTTTCATCACAAACCCTGCTCCAACAGGTTTATCTCCAAGAAAGTCTTCTACCACCTGACCATAGAGAAGCCCGTAATCTACGATGGAAGTGACTTTCCTTGAAGCCTGATAATGTGAGCTTCCACAGAGGCATCAGCATGATGTCCTGAAGACGTCATCATGATGTCACTGTGGTGGCTAAAAGGCTTTTTATTCTTTTATTTCCAAACACATGTTTTTACCCAAGTATTTTATGCTTTTGGAATTGCCAAATTCAGTTCTGTGCTCAAGTGTGTTCATGTTTTGAGGTGGAGATGGATAAGCTTTAGGAGAGAAAGACAAATATTTATGCAAGTTTGATCACATTTTGTTTTTAAGTATGCAGCAGGTAATATACACACATTTAGTTCATTTAGAGAAAGTATGTAGTTTTCTTACTTTGTTTTTTTTAGTTTTGGTCTGGCCTTTCTCAAATATGCTTTTACATTAGTGAATGTAACACTACCAATAAGAAATATGATAAAATGCTCCTATCTGCAGAAGTCATCTATAAAGACTCAGGAAGGACGTTAACACTTTCAAAAAAATCGTCAGTTTATAATGTTTCAGGTTGTGTGCAATCATTTAATTCAAAAAGAAGAAGAAGTAGTGCAGAAGAGTGGTTTGCTTGTGACTTCTCTGAACATATTTGCACTGTTCCAGGAAACAAAGCACTAACTAATAGGTGGCCTGGAAAATATTTTTCTGCTTGGTAACAAAGCACTTTGTGCAAATCTCAGGAGTGGGTGTAAAGTTCTCCTCCAGCGGTAGCATGTCCTAATTCAGTGTTTTTGGAAAACTAACCTAAAAAAGAAGAAGAAAAGCTGTCACCTTACTCTCTGTGTAAGGTGACGTGCACACCAGCCTCCTCCACCCAGTGTATAGGATATAATGAAGCAAAGTGCAAGTACTGACTGTAAACAGGCTGACTGTGTCATTACAGTGGTTTTAAGTTATAGTCATCACTGTCATCTATTGAGCTTTTGTACTTTCAAAGTGCCTATTAACTCTTATTTCCAGGAAGTAGTTGACTTTTGTAGCTGTGTAGTTCACACTTTATATTCACAAAACCAGAAATCGGGTGCGCATTGGCACTAACCTATAAAATCCTAATTCTAGTGACATTTAAATCACAATATAATATGCAAAACACAACATATCAGTTGAAATGTTATTTTTTCCCATTTGGCTCTCATTCTGTGTCTGGAATCTTTTTGTCATCTGTTTAGATAACTGGCTAACTTTTCTTGTCCTCTCAGTGAGCAAATGTTTTTGAATATTATGTGCTGTTTGTTGTTTTCTAACACAAAACAATAAGAAAACAAAAAGAGTTTGAGCACCTTCGGATACAACCTGACACTACTTAACAAAGCAAGGGCTTATCTCCATGCTGCTTTTCTAAAGATCTGCTTGTGTTTCACAGATCTCATATTTTTAATGGCTGTAAACTGGTGCAATTTGTATTCAAAGCTTCATATTTTCTATAAAGAACTGCACTTTGAGATGATTATTTTATAAAATGTTACGAACAGTATGAAATCTGTTAGGTTTCCATTGTCTTTGTCAAAGAATTCAAACAGGGACTTTTCTGTGTGCTCTTTTTAAGCATAATTATTGTAAATTGTGCATGAATCAGTACTACAAGCACTCAGTGTATAAGAGACCTGCCAAACACCAAATAAACATGATACAATGGGAGTGTGATGATCCACTAATCAGCTTCTGCTTTAGTATTTGACAGCTTGATCAACGCGTACTGTCTCTGTGCTGCTGCACTCGTTCAGAAACAGTAGCTTCTGCCTGAATTAACAGAAAGAGATGTGGAAGAGCTCCATCTAAAGGGGAAGTTTTTTTATGATTAAAAAATAGACAACAAAACCCTACAGAGTAAAAGCTAAAGAAATTTGTAATCATGTTCGCAGTATTTGCTGGTGGCAAGTATCTAATTTCTATTTTGATTCAGCAATAAACAGTTAACGCATCTTCGGAGCTGTAGCTGGAGAATCAAGATCATGTTTTACCTCAGGAAATGTTTAATAGTTCGTTATGTGTAACATTATTGGACTATTATGTAGAAATAGTCTGCCAGTGTATCAGTCAGTAAATTTATTGATTGTATTTCTTATTTTGCTTATTGCAGAACCTCGTGTTAATGATCTTTCTGTAGCCTGAAACAACTGGTCCATTAATCAGTTTGTTTACCAACTGAAAATTAATCTGCAATTGTTTTCAGTGAAATTTCTAGGAAAAATTGCAAATCTTTGATTGTTTCCAGCTTCTTAAATGTGAAGGTTTGTTGTTTTTTGGTTATTTTTGGGTGGAAAAAAAAACAAAACAAATTTGATTACATTTGCATCAATATGACAATAATGACTTTTTGCACTCATTGCCAAAGTTTTACAGAGAAAACAATTAATCATGGAAATCAGACTAATCGATAATGAAAATCTAAGGCCCTGTTTTTATATGCTATCCTATACCAGTTTATTTAATTATGCATGTATGTATGTGTTTGCGTGTCTGCTTTTGTTGTGAGTGAAATAAAATTGCCTAAGAAACATTACAGGTTACATAAACATAAAACATATTAATTAAAGCAAATTCTCCACAAAATTGACAGAATAATGGACAAATAACAGGATCGGAAAATAATAAAGGTATCACAGAGAAAGATGTGTAGAGAGGATTTTTCCATGAGCAGAACTGAGACACCTGGATAGTTCAGTTCGTCTGTAGGGTCTGTCTTGGTGGACGAACCGGCTCAAGCAAACACAAGGGTACATTTTCAACTTGAAACGAGTTAACGCAACAGCTGCTCAGTTATAAAGCAAATCTGAGTTTTGTCTTCGATAGGCTGTAGAGAGAAACGTGCGTTCACAACAGTGGAACACATGGTTAGACATTAAGTTCTCCATAATGGTATTGGTGGCAGTTCTGTGCTTGGCTACGGAGATATGAGAAGAATCAGTTATCCACTGGTCGCTTAGGCGTGAGACTTTTATTGTGGAAATATGTAGCCTACCGGAATTTCTATATTGCTTCATATTTGGCCAGTGCTTTCTTTCCACCTGGGAAGCGAGTGGCGCTCTGCGCACAGACCTACTAGAGTGCGCTTGCGGTCTCATTGATGAAAGCGCCACTTGGACCGAGCGGACACTGAACCAACATGTCCTGTCTCCGCATCAGATGGATTTGTCTCACTCTGTGTTTAGCACCAACTGTGAGTAGCCTAATCTACTTTTACTTAATCATTTTAAAGAATTGAAAACTTGCAGCTTTCTCTCGTATTAAATTAATAGAACTGTTTTTTAAAAATCTTGACAATCTGGACAGGTGCGACATCTTGTTTAGCGTAACCATCTTTTAGCATATATAAAATAGACAACAGATTCCATGCCATCTTTGGCTCTTTCATTTTCCTGTTATATTCTCGACTTGAGGCACAGTGAGTTTTAGTTCAAACAGCAAACACTATGTATATACTGTATGTGTGTGCAGCCAGGCACCTGTCATGGAGCTGTTTGGTTCTTCACATGGGGCCACAGTAATTTCCTTAGCATTAACGCGTCGCATTGTAAAAGACAATATGCACTGAATGAAAGTGAATAAGTGTAAAATGGCTGTGTGTTAAATGTTGAGGGGTGCAGCTCCTGACATGGTAGCCAAAGTGATGTTCTTTGTGACTTCTTGTGACTTTATAGGCTATCTGTAGATTTTATAATATTTCACTTTAAATTAAAGTCAGGTTGGAGCAGATTTATAAGCCTGTTTGATAAAGGGAAAGCATGTCTGCAGGTGCAAAATGACAAGATGGATGTGTGTGTACAGTACCTGCGTGTACCATGAGGTACAAGGATATGTACAGTATGTGAATGTATGCACAACCCGCCCACCCCATAAAAAACGACTGGTTTACTAAGTCTTGAATGACAATAAACATCACCACTGGGTTTTGGACTGAGCCATCTTAGGTTCTGGCAAATTGCTACTATGGCATGTACTGACGAAACAACCTGCAAATTGATGTAAGATGAAAATAATCATATTTTAACTGTTACTGTTATTGTCTGTGACATGCCATTGTTTTATTATTTTCTCATACTTTGTTGTTTACACTTTAGAGCTAGGTGCATCTGCATGTTTATATTCGTGTGAATAGTAAAGTATTGGTGCAAGTACTGTATATAAAAGATAGTCCAGTAGCAGGTCTACTGATAAGATGAACGCATGATGGATATTATGATTGATAGTATGTTAATACTGTATATTCAAATCTAAATTGTGTACATCTGTGCAAGAAGAAATTAGCCTAGATTTATACAGTATAATTTATTACTATGACAATTGCACTCTCTTCCATTAGTCGTTACACACACACGTGCACACACACACACACACACACACAATATTTCACTTTATCAGAATCAGGACAGTGAAAACCCCTTAGGATAAAATAGAATAACCAGTTTTTACTGATATAAGCACTTTATTTTGGTCTGTTTTGGCCAGTTAGCCATAAGGAAACAAGACAGGCAACGAACTGTCTGCATGTATTCGCATACACACACTGGCACAACCACTTTTTTAAATCAGCAGCTTTATAGAACTCTTATATCATGGCCTCCTCACTAATGTCCATGACAGAATAGTAATATGAGGAGCAGGCAAATGGGTGGTACAGTATGACAATCAGAGAAAAATGGGAACAGCAGACACTCATCTCCTTGTTGTACTTCATTTTATTCTCTTTCATTGCTGAGGACTGCAGAGAATTATAATGAATGACCGGGGTACACAATACACATACACATGGAACATAGACACACACTCTACACATTTCAGAAGAACTAGAAACAGGACCAATAGTACTTGTCAGGTCACTTTTTGAATGTTCAGAAATTAATGAAATTTTGCACTTTAACCTAAGTTTAAAAAAAAAAAGGATCAAAAAGCTAAAAATGATCTGGTCATCTTTTTGTTTTGTTAATGTCCAACTATCTTACTTTCATGAAATAACACTCATTCACTTTACAAACAGTCAGTAGATGAAATACTTATATGTCAGTCATAAAATAGTATTGTAAGAGATTTTGATGAATACTTATTCATGATTCCGCCAAGAGTTACATAAAGACATTGATAGCTCTTTTATACCCATACTATAAATACAGTGTTGCATCCATCAGCCAGTTAGCTTAGCCTAGCAAAAAGACTGGAAGCAAGTGAAACAACTAAATGACAAGTGAAAAAACTAAAATAGCATAACACCACAGTTTGTCCTTTTTACATCTTTTTATTCCACAAATTAAATAAGCAAGATATGAAATGTAAATTTGTGAAATTTAAAGGTGCTGATAGATTTTGTTAGCTTTGGACAGAGTCAGGCTAGCTGTTTCTTTATGCTAAGCTAAGCTAATGTATCCTGTCTCCAGTTTCATATGTGTGCTGCCTCCATGATATGTCATTTAATTACAAGCAACTGAATGGTAAAAACATTCACATCAGCCTCAGACTTGTCATTCAGAGTCATAGTTGATGGCAGAATTGCCAAATACACCACTTCTGGCAGATATATTAAAAAAAGCAAATATTAATGTTAATAAAGTCGATTCAGCTAATTTTATAGGACCTACACAGTTTTTATCTGGTTGGCAAGAACTGATAAATATGTAACACAACAAATGTAGCGTGATTAGACTGATCGAGCTTGTTTATCTGGTGTGACTACAATGTGCTGACCACCTTTGAATAATGCATGAACACTCCCAGTTTGCAGTGAGGGCTGTTTTCCTGGTTTTCCCAGACAGTGGGTGAATGCAGCATTAGCACAGAAGTAGGAGAGTCGTATCAGTCTTCTCATGTATTGACCAAAATGTCATGCAGCTCCTTCAGTACCTATATAAACTTCAGAGTCTGAAGTTCAGAGACTGACTGTGTTTGTGCTCTGTTTCTAATCAACTGAACATGTTTTGTATTTTTAGACTGCCAGAGTGCTAAGCATACAGCATAAAAGTGCACATCATTTGCTGTTGAAAATAGATGGCAGCATCTGCAAAGTGAGCCCAATGCGATGGCCCCTTTTTGGGTAGTTAGTGGATAATGGGCTTCACCTTTGAGAGCACATTTTTTACAGCAGTCTGCACGCTAACCTGGTGGTGTGAAGGGGCCTTTGGCTTTGCATTTAGTTTCATGACTCATATTGTCCAGACTTACCTTATGCAGCCCCTCCATCTCTTTATCTCCCTGTCTTTGTTTCTGTTTTTTAAATGTAGCAGTGTCTCATTTTATCCCATTATGCAGTTGTAATGCATGAGCATGTCATGCACCCTTGATGATAGTAAACACCCAGTCTTAACATTCTCTTTATACCTCACCCCCTGATGTTCAAAACATCACTCATGTCCTGTTAACTGAACACCATTCTTATGCAGAATAAATGTCTTCACAGCGTCCCCTTTGCATATAAAGAGGGACACTGTGTGTGGTACTGAGTTTGCCATGATGATTTATGGTACATGAGTGCATAAGGTTTTCTGCTTTGAGTGTATTGTAAGTGTTGTAATTAACTGATAATGCACAACCAGTGAATTACAACTACACAATCATGGTTTAGCACAAAACAATATACCATACATGTTGCAGTTTGAAACACACTGTAAACTCTGAATGTCTGAATTCATTTTCTCTGCAGGAGGTAAAGTAAACCAAATTTTCATGTGTCATGGGGTAGGACTGGATAAGTCTGACTTTTTCCTACTCCATTCAAGCATGTACTAGGTATAAGCAAATTGATACTGGATTAGCATTTGTTGGATATGTGTAAAATTATGTGTGTTGACATATCAACTGTCTTTACATGCTTGAAAGAATAAATCAAATCAAATCATGTGTCCCTCACCTGCCTTTGAAGAGAAAGAGCAGGAGTAAATTGTACAATAGCACCCCTTATTAGATTATTAGCATTGCATTAGGAACAAAGGGGACTGGTAGAGATTTTCTCTGGATGATGGAAGGAAAAAGGGTGCTATGCGTTTGCATGTTTGTTCCTACTTACTTAAAGAAAATGAGGGAACCCATTTTTTCTGTTCAACAAAGAGTCATGGTAATTGTTTTCAGTTCTTAATAGTTTTCTAGTTGCTAAAGTGGTTTGTTATTCTGCACAAACACTTGCTCCTGCTTTTTCTATGAATTTTATTATTTGTCCTTGTGTGTGTTTGATGGGGAATGCATGGACAGTTAAGGCCTAAAATGAGGAGCAAGGTGTGAAAAGTCAGTGATTACACTGAAGAAACATCCAAACATCCTATCCATTATCTAAACCCATGATACCCTCTTTTCTGGCGCCTCTCCCAGCTGACACTGGGCAAAAGGTGGGGTACATCCTGGACAGGTAGTCACTCGGGTGGGGTACATCCTGGACAGGTTGTCACTCTGTCACAAAGCTGGAACAACCAGACAATCATTCACCTACAGTATGGGCAAATTGGAATCACCAATAACCTAACCTACATATCTTTGGACCATGGGAGGAAGCTGGAGCACTTGGTGGAGAACTTTTCCAGCTGGTGGGTTCAAACATAACCTTTTTGCTGTGAGGAGACATTGTGTCTTACATTTGTTATTATTATTATTACTCCTGACTGTACACACTTCAAATAATTTGGATGCTTTAAGTGCTTTGCGTTTGTTGAGTTTCTTGTAGGCATCTATTAAAAGAATATCAGACAAGACTGATTTGATTGAATCTAAACCTGTTAAATGCTATCATTTTGGCATTTTATCTCTACTTTCAAATGAATTTCAGCCTGATCAGATGTTGAATTCCAGTGTTTGTTCCAAAAACATCCCTTGTTCAGTTCAAACCAAAACACAGGATTATCATAATAACAAGCTGTATGTAAACTGAAGCT